ACAACAAATTTCCGCTAAAGTCCACAAACTTTCCGCACATTTTTTTTTAATTATCAAAAAATTCAATTCGCATTTTTTTTACTCCCGATAGTAAGATCTAATAAAAAGCATGGACTTTTGTTCTTGGAAAGTATTTCTTATCAGCTTGAATTATATTTTTAATAAATGAAAAGATTAAAGTATCTAATTTTGATTCCCATAAATTTGATCTTTGTATTGCGATTTTCTATCAATCAAACAGACAACATTTCTGAAAAGTTATCTAGCTATGGTGCTCTATTTGTATTCTCTAGTTGACATTTGTACATCCACAAGAAACTCCAACTTCTCTTTATATGTATATGCTGGAGACACTGACATATCTTGAAGTCTATATTTGACATTCAAATTTCTTTTGCAAATATTTATAAAACATTAGAAAGAAATCCATTCAGTGTCTGTTATGTATACTCCACAGCATGGCGGGCTTCATAAGTATGGTTTACTTGTGTCCAATCCATTTTACTTTGAGTAAATAAAATATGTTTAAACTAAAACTAAATTTCCACAGCATCCAAAACGGTCCGTAACATCTCAAAAATAGACTTTAAACCATAGTGTTCTTGTTTGAAATCAAAATAATGATAAAGAATCCCACACAAGCATTTTGTGGTGCTAAGCAGATTTCCATCACTCATTTGTTTGCATGTTTGTTTGGTTTTCAAAAATGAAAATGTATTTGTTTCAGAATGCGTTGAAGATGACTTGAATAAATTATACGCGGATGCGGTTCTGTATTGTATCTTACCCATGATGAGTACAAGTAAAAAATATTTTATTTCAACAATGCTACATGTATATGTATATGTTCCAGACCATAAGAGTATTTGGACCGTACGCGTACGGTCCGGACCGTATAAGTATACTCGTACGGTCCCGCCATACGCGTACGGTCGGACCGTATGAGTATAATATACTCGTACGGTCTAGTAACCAAGAGTTACATTTTTTATTAGATTCTTCTGTAAAGTGTAGATTATATAAGTATGTGGTAACAAATGTAGTTTTGCAATTTTATTTACAGAAATGCATTCCTGTACTTTTTGGTAAATGTATAACAAGGATTCGTTTGTCTTCACATAACCTTTGTATTGAAACTGGACGTTATGTTGGTACTACTAGTAATAGAAATGAAAGAAATTGTGTATATGGACCATATTGGTTGATTTTAGACAGGCATTTGTTAAAATCTTAAACTCATATTGTTACAAGTACATGAATAAAGTGAATAAGCGATCAGTCAATCAATTGAAATGAATTTTTTCTTTTCTTTCTGGCACTCTCGCCCACAAGGAACATTAGTTTTTTTTTTACATTTACATGTTTTGTTCATGCATATTCCTTTCCATGTCCAGACCGTACGTGTACAGTCCAAATACTCATATGGTCTGGAACATATATGCTGTAACATTGTTTAGTAAATGTAAAGATTTTTTACTATAATGCATACCCTGTAAATAATATTCAAAACTTTTTTATTTTTAAAAATTTTATTAATAACTTTTAAACTGTGACCCATTTTTAATGTACATAGAAGTTATTATTAGTATCTTTGCAGGGATTTAACTGTACATAATGTTATTTTTAAATAGTTAGGTTTTCACTTAATAATTTTTATAAGGATTAACCAACCTTAATTCAGTAAGGTTGGTGTACTCCAACTATTGGAGGAAGATATAGAGGAAAGAAGAAGAAGAAGCAGGTCACTGTAAACAATTTTGAAGATGAAATTTGATCAAAACACTCTGAAATAAAATTGGCTGAAATTGCATAAACTAGGTGTCAGATTTAGATAAGAAAATCACCAGACTCTAATACCATGAATTTGCAGAGTACTTTAAACAAGACCTTTGAACACCCATTTTACTTCCGGTTAATCAGTTAATAGGTCGTACGGATGATCCAAATAACCTGGTAGGCAAACATTTTCAATTGACAACTCTAAAATAAAAATTTTACTCTGATGTCAAGTTTGTCGAAAAAAAAATCAAAGTTGCTGCTCGTGTCTTCTTCCTCTTTATGTAAAAATCAACTTAACTTTATAATTTAAAAGTGTTTTTTTTTTAGATTTTCTTAGTAGTTATAACCTACTAATTATATCAAATTTTAATCACTTGCGATGTACGGATGTTCCAGACCATATGCGTTCTAAAGACTGCTTAATAAAGACTCCAATATGACAAACAAGTTCAGGGATGGGGTTTAGAATGTGTTTTAGTTTATTAAATGCATCAAGATGTTGAAATAATAGTACATAGTCTTTTAGATAAGCAAAAAATTTAGAACGCAATGATATGTTAATGTCACAATACAAAAAGAAATGAAATTCGTCATCTAGGACTCCACATTTTTTACATAACCTTTGTGCTCTTGGAATATTTCTGTACCTTCCCAAATTAAATGCCTAGGGAATGATCACTAAGTCTAAATTTTGAGAGAAACTGCCTATGTATAAAATTATTGCAATTTAAATATTCCTCGGACTGACAATTAGTTTTTAGTTTCCCATAGAGACAAAGTTTGGATGAGGAATCCAATTTTTGAAAGTTTATTTTAAGTAGTTTGTTCATATTCCTCTGAAACGCACTTTTTAATATTACATTTTAACACGTTTTTTTTATTGTTCAAAAGGTACATAAATATTATAGTAATTTTCTGGGTTTATTTTCATATCTTTAAAAAATTTATCTGCAAATGAGTACCAAGAATAAATTCATGCGGAATGTAAATTTATGTTTGTTTGTAGAGATTCTTTAACCAGGGGATTAATATCATTACCGTTTATTCTATAAAAATACATGAGTGTTTGAGTTTTTATATAAGAGTCCAAAGAAAATCTACCTAATTCTGATCTAGCACCTATGTTAGTGGCTGTCTTTTTCAGTCCTAATACTGATATGGGAAGTATTCACGTTAGAAAACTAGAGGCCCCAATGAGACTCATTCGACCATCTTTGAAAAACATGCAATGTTGATATTCCTATTTATGTAAAAATCTGAATAATTCTTCTTTGCCACCTCCTATACAATCATATATATATATATGTCCTTAAGTCTTCCATAAAAATATGAAGGACCAAAACAGTCTATTTCTATCAATTATTTTTAAATCGAATATCGCTAAAAGTTAAAAAAAAAAAGGTCAATATTAAAACGTAACTTTTAATGGACAACTGAGGGTCTGGATGGGGGTTCAACTTTGTGTATTATTTAAATTCATGCCATTTGTACGTTCTCAAAAATTGTTTACAAAGTTAATTGATTTATCATGTTAATATGTTTATTCTCCCCAAACAACAGATAACTTGACATGAAGTTTTAGCTTCATAACATATCTTCATTTTTCATTATCAAATATTTAAGATTGACAAATTATTTTTTTTCACTATAAAAACTACCAAAATACTGTTTTTGTTATGAAAGATGTTGCCGTATAAAACATATATTACTTAACAAGAAGTTTTAGCCTTCGTAATATAGCTTCATGTTTCATTATTAAATATTTAAGTTTGACAAATTATTTTCCTTGTGTAAAAGTACTGTTTGTGTTCAAAAAGGTGCTGCAGTATTAAATACGATTATTGAAAACGCCACTGTTTCAGACATTTTTGATTGGCCAAACCATTATTTATTAAGAAAACCTACAGATTTTGTTTTATGTTTGTTTTTGTTTTTTGGCGTAAAGTCAAATTTTAGAAACCTACTATCTATCCATGTAGAAAAACCAAATAAAAAACCCCATATAAAATAAAAAGCATATAAATAATCAACTAACCATGCAATGCCGTTTGAAACCAATTTTAACATCAAAATTATTCTTGTTTAAAATCTTATGTGGCACATACACACATAGGAAAACCCTTTTCATTCTAAACTAAATGATATAGATTGAGAAGATACATATACAGACAAAGGTTCAACTGTCTCCTAAAAAATCTTATTTGGTGATTCTATAATTATGTTAGGTTATATTATTTGTGTTTTTGTACCATCAAAAAACATACGGATGCAAAATGAAAAACAAAACTTTGACTAAAGTATGTAATTGAAAGGAATTGGTTCATTCGAGAGGAACAAACACCATTGCTACACAGTATCACTATTTCTTTTCTCTTTAACCAACGTTAAAGTCACCCAACACACTACAACGTTTTCATCACCAATCGAAACTCATTGCCCTTCACTGCAGCTACGATAATGATTGCTAAATCGTAATATGGAATTATTGTTGATAACAAAAGTAGTGATTTGTGAGGTCAGACAAGCTTTTGGAAAGCTTACACTCGTGACTATTTTGAGGAAAATATGATTCCCCTGTGAAACAAGACACTTGCTTGATGAGAAGAACTAAAGCCTATAAACAAGATCGAACAACTCTATCCTGTTTATTTCCTCTTCCCTTTCCTTATCCTGTTTATTTCCTCTTCCCTTTCCTTATCCTGTTTTTTTCCTCTTCCCTTTCCTTATCCTATGTAGTACAAGTTTTTGTATGAACATTTTTCTTACAAACCTTGATTTGTTCGTTTGTTTAAAACGGCACATAACACTGATGGGGAGAAAACTCGTTATAAGTCATCAGTTAAATGAACACCTCTTTTTAAAACACGGATTGAAAAGACGACATCTCGTATCTTATTTAATCCGATTGTTCAATTTCAATAAAATTCTATTATGGGAGTTCGATGAAGTCCCCCGCACAACACATTACAGTAAAACAGTAAACGATTTTCCCCTGTTTGATCATAGAAGTTCTATGTGTCAATAAAGTACTTCCATGGTGTGACGCAAACGGTTGCTAAAGAATACGATGGGACGTTAGAAAGGTTAAATTCATAATAGTAATAATAATAAAGAAAAAAATAGAAAAAAATAAAAGAAAATCGGAAGAAAGCTCTTATAAATGCAAGAACAAGATGATTTTTTAAATTAGATAATCCTGATTTTTTTTTCTTAAGCCTTACCTAGTTTATCTGAAGTTACTGGACACAGAGGCAAACAATCTTCACTCGTCACATTCATTACATTTTTACTGCACACATAAGTGACGTTGTTATCTGATTTTATCACTGACTGTGTTGACTGTTCTTTTTGAAATGAGACAGCACTCGGAGTACCCTTTGGTATGCCTAATGTTGATGAATGTAATTGTGCTAGGCGAGACGAACTCGAGTACAACTGTTCCGATACTTGTACCCATTTTGACATAAATGTGAAAGCTGCCTGTTGAATGGATAAATTGAATGCTATCTGGATCGTTATCAGGAATAATAGCACTAAGAATAAAGATTTAAACACTGATCCTTTTGCGCAATACCGTTCATTCGCATCCCCCATTCCATTTAAGTTGGACTCGTAGATGTTATTCGACTTTTGTAATTTTTTTTCTAGATTTTCTGTCATCAAATATTAAGCATGGTTTGACATTGAATTGTTCTTTCACATCAGTCAAGTTGTAAATGAGAGATTAATTAGTTCATCTATTCAATGTCGATTTACATTGGCGATAAAAAGATATATCTGTTATTGCTATTTACTATTCGATTTGAATTAAAATCTATAATGTATATATTTGTTCTCCCCGGTTTGTTGCAAGTAACACGTGTTGACTAATTTCAATAGTCCTGTTTCTGTCCATTTACGGAAAACTGAAAAAAAGATAACAACAAATAACTATATATAGTACTTTAACAAACATGGAATGCGGAAGATACATGTAAGACCATAAAAGCAGCTAAGGAAAAATATTGTCAATGAGGTTGATGTCTTTGGAGTAAGTTGTCTTCCAGATTGTAGTGGTGGGAGGGGGGAATTGAAGAAATAACCATCTTAGTCACTCAGAGTTTGTCTGTGACGTGCGACAAGTACTGTGTTGTTGTGTCACTCAATTTTTTTTAATTTATGCCCGCACTACAATTCGTAGGGCAAACTGTTTTACCCCTGTTCATCCGTCCGTCCGTCCGTAAGTCCGTCCGACATAGTTTGTCTAGCTAACTCCTCCTTTAGTTTTAACGCTAGAAATGTTATAGTATGCAGTGTGTTAATACATATAGTAATGCCTCGTTCACACGTCCATTTAATTCGAATTGAATTCGAATCGAATGCGAATCGAATTCGCTAATCGCGTTCACACACTCTTCGTTTTTAATTCGAATTGATTCGAATTCGCTAAATCGCATTATCCAATTCGCATTAGAAATGCGTTTTTGTTAATACGAATTAATAGTTAACGTCGTTCGGACAGTAAAGCGAATTTGACGCGCATTGCAATTCGAATTAGAATTTACGTTTGGACGTAAAACGTTTCGAATGCGAATTAAACTAATTCGAATTAGTTAATGCGAATCGAATTCGAATTACGTGTGAACGCAGCATAAGGGTGTTAATGTGACATCAGAATTTTGATCTTTTTAAAAATTTACTAATGCTGCGTTCACACGTAATTCGAATTCGATTCGCATTAACTAATTCGAATTAATTTAATTCGCATTCGAAACGTTTAACGTCCAAACGTAAATTCTAATTCGAATTGCAATGCGCGTCAAATTCGCTTTACTGTCCTAACGACGTTAACTTTTAATTCGTATTAACAAAAACGCATTTCTAATGCGAATTGGATAATGCGATTTAGTGAATTCGAATCAATTCGAATTAAAAAAGAAGAGTGTGTGAACGCGATTAGCGAATTCGATTCGCATTCGATTCGAATTCAATTCGAATTAAATGTACGTGTGAACGAGGCATCAAATGACAGGATGTTTAACTTTGTCATTTTTATGCCAGCATGACAAAAGCACAGTTGTTAATTGGATACTGCATTTACCATGAACATTTTTGTATTATTACAAGTCACATTTGTTACCTCCTATTTACTTGCTAATGTGTTTTGAAGTTTGAAAGGAGCAAAACAAATAACAATTAATTGTCCTACATTATGGAATAAATTATAACTGTGACGAGCCATCAAATGTGTCTTACAGACACAACAATCTCAAGTTGTCTTTTAACATCACTGTTATACCAAATCCAATGTTTGCGGAACTATATTCATGCATACGGCATGGCTAGGTTTGTTTTTGTTTTTTTGTTTTATTTTTATTTTTGTTTTATTTTTTTTTTTTTTTTTATATAAATGTGGTTCTTTAAAGCCAGGTTTAATCCACCATTTTCTACATAAGGAAATGCCTGTACCAATTCAGGACTATGACAGTTGTTTTCCATTCGTTTGGTGTGTTTGAGCTTTTGATTTTGCCATTTGATAAGGAACTTTCCGTTTTGAATTTTCCTTGGAGTTCGGTATTTTTGTTGTTTTACTCTTTAATGACGGTATAACTGCATAGTGAATTCTACTCCAGGCACGGATCCAGGATTTGATGTCCAGGGGGTGGGTCTACTGAGAATTGGGAGTTGGAGGACCATATTTTGAAAAAAAATTGGCTGTAATTCTATCTTATTTTAATTAGTCGAATCAATTTTCTTTCGTTTACTTATATCTTTGACACCATTAGACCCATCTTAAATGATTTTTTTATATACGAAAATTGTCAATAAACGTACTAATTCAAATAGTAAAGTTTATATTAGGGGCGTTTAGTGTGTAGAGTTCTGACTGGTCAGTTAATGAGTGTGTGTCCTATAAACAGGTCACTTTTGATCATATTTGAAAATGATAACTTTATCTTGGTTGAATTTTACAGAATCAATAACACTCCTTCCTTATACGACTTACTTATTGATATAGAAAAAGGTGATTGATTTGTTGTAAATATTGGTTCTTTTATCATTGTGTAAACAAGATAGCGGTCTGACTGAGGATAAGGGCGCTTAAGATAATAAAAAAAATGGAAGACCCATATACTTGTTTACTAAAGAGAAACGTCAGGTCTGGTTACCCCCCCCCCCCCCCCCCCCCCCCCGAAAATGGGGGTGACACAGGGTACTCATTTCCCAAATCCCGCTTTTTTTGTAAATTTTCCCCCCTTTTTTTGTAAATTTTTTCCCGCTTTCCATTTTTTTCTTTTCATTTTCCTACATCCCCACTTTTTTACCCCTATATCCCACATCTCCTCTTTTTTCACCGACCCCCCCCCCCCCTTTTTTTCCCTCTGAAATAGAAAATGTCGATCTTGCCTTGTTTTCATACGGTATGACATTATTTGTACCAAATAAGGTCCTTTCGTCCTTTATAGAACAGTCATTAGAACCGAGGAAAGGAGAGATTCACGAGTCTTAGTTTATTGAAATCTGTGTGATTTTTTCTGTTTATTGTAAATTATATGCTTAAACTGTTGACGGACATTTTTTAATGTGCTTTCAACAGTTTGTATTTTATTTGTGTGTAGTGCTGACCAAATTGTCTTTTTCCTGCATTAATAATGACAAAAATGAAAATGATCATACTTAAAATTTAAAAAACAAGATTGGTAGACTAAATAAATTCAAGGGTTGTCACGTAGAATTTACGTACAATTTACTTATTTGTTCAATAACAATTAATAATTTCAACATGTTGCCGTCTAATCATTAATGTTAGCGAATTATCCATTATTGTAAATAAAATACCGAAAAACTGTTAAAATGGTCGATCGGTAGGGATCTAAATAGGAAAATGTAAAGTTAAACTCAATTTTAAGCATTGGACAAATTCTTAATAATTTTTTTTAAAAATCTGCAATGGTGAATTTGACTATATTACATAATATATAGATCTGAGATACAAAGGTGTCTAAAAGGCAATATTTCTCTTTGTTTTATGATTTATTTTCCTGATTGTGTATTCCTAAAAACTTTGTGTATGTTTATAAATGTATATTATTATTTGTAACAGTCTGGCGTCATGTTAATTATTTTTTTTGCATTTTATATGATTAAATATTAATTATTACATTAATAGAATTTGTGTGGGTCGCTTATCGATAGACTAGAGCTTGCTTGTGGTAATATGCAAAATATGTACATTGTAGGAAACTAAAATAATTTATTTGTACTAGCCTCGGAAATAGGAAGGAATTAAAAATTCCCATCTGTTGTTTTTGATTGTTACAGAAATTGACACGACTTAAACGCGGACCGCGAAGAAGACCCCCAAAACAAACACTGATTAATCGCTTTACCAGGTGGAATCCCCCTCTTAATAATTTCCGGATCTGCGCTAGCAAATCATAGTTTTCGATTCTTCTCTACTGCATTTTTTTTTATCTTTAGGGCTGTTCTAGCTCTTTAATGTTTTTTTCATGAATTGGATTATTTCACATTTCGGAATATCTTTGCATAGACATTATTTATTAGAATTCACATCGGGTATTGTACACAATTTCATTGTCACTTTCAAAATGAATAAAAAAAAGCAATATGGATATAAGTCGACGAGACAACACAGGAGTAGGGCCAGTTTCCACTGTAATTTGTTTCATCCACAAGCTTAACTGAGGTCAAAATATAAAAGATGTCAGATCTTACTATATACACTGAAAATTAGATGGTCTGTATCAAATAAAAAAAAAAAAAACTGTTTCATAATTTTACATATTTCCATCAAATCAAAAAGTTATTTTGCGCTACATACTGCTGTTGCATGCATTTTGATATAATTTTATTTTGGATGTAACACGTCTTCTGATTGGCTGAACGTTTTTTGTCTATCGGCTCACAGACATAAGTTTGTCATGTGGCCGTGACTTCATCAACGTTTTTTTCATGATTTACCCCTTGAAAATGGAATTGAGAATTGCTACGCAGGTTATTCAGTGTGCACCACATTTTTTATGTAATTTCTTCAGACAGAAAAAAGATTACAGTCATTCCATAAAAATAACTGCGAAATTAAACATGTTTTTGTCAAATATTCCATCGAAGGACATCACTACCCAACCCGAATGCCAACACATAGCTTTTACTTTAAACATAACTTTGGTTCTGGTTAACAAAAGCCTTATACAATTTTACGATCAATAATCAAAATTTGCCAAATCTTTCAAAATTACGGCTTTTGGTATTGTTCTGGCGTTTGTAATTTGATGGCCTGTTTAGAAATAAGCCGGGGAAAAATAGAACCTTAAAGAACACACCTTGAGCTGATACTATGAATTTAATAGAGTAAAGATTGAAATACGCTAGTGTGAAATAAATTCAGGGGAAATCGACCCTACTCCTTTGTTCTAAAGTTGGCAAAGTGGTTTGAAGTTTCCTGCGTTCTCCGCCACAATTCAATACAATTTTTTTTCTATTAATGTATAACATAAGAAAATAAGTATAGGTATAAAAATCATACATTAACACGATTTGTTCATATAAAAATGTTGAATAAGTAATGTCAATGTTGTACATTGTGTTGTTTAAACTAAGAAACAAATTGATTTATTACTTACATGAAATTTCCTTATACGTCCATTTTATGAAAAAAATGTTGTGTATTTCATTGGTAGACCGGGATAAAATGTGATGTGTGTATCCGCTGATATTGCTACGACATAAGAGTTTTCGGAAAGCCTCATAGTCGATTACATCTTATTCATATCCACGTTTTTACCGTAAGCTGTCGTAATATTACTATATATACTTGACAAGTCATGCACCTCATAAAAATTAACAAGATGACAACTTTCACCAATAACTTTGACATGAGCTGGGATAATGACCAATTGTTTTTCTTAAATCTAACAACGTGTTTTCAAATGTTTCTAGGCAATATATTTCGATTGATTTTCGAAGGTATTTATACAATATCCTACGAAATCTGCATAAATCAAATACAAAACCGATTTGTGAAGTCTTGAAGCGCACAGATTTATTTATTTTAGGAAAATATTATGAATGTGAGAGACGTATACCTAATACGAATATTTTATTGGTTTCTAATCCAAAATTGCAGGAATTTTACTAAAATTTCACAATAGACATCAGGTAAATATGAACTCACAAGTATACAAGTTTATCAACACTTATTATTCATATCTATATGCATATAGATATATACGTGTAATTAAAAAAATAGAGACGTATGAACTAAATAAAAAAAGTTAATAGTGACTAAAACTGGATTTTTTTACTTTAACAAAAACATGCCTTACCTTGTCTCAAACACCTGACATACTTGGGTTGTCCTACTGATAACGGACTATTCTGATAACATTTTGACGATAACGAAATCCGGAAATCAGGTATTGGTTTTAATATGGAAGTTTATTATTAAATCGCTCCATATGTCCAATTTTGATATCTGTTTCACGAAAACACCACACCACTTTGTAAATACATAGAAATTTTGTCATATTTCTCATTATGATACAACAATGTAACGATGAACGCCCGAGGCACATAGTCCTAGTTCCGTTTTCATTTGTTATCATGTGTTTTACATACACCGAATGTGTATACAAACGTGATGACGATTTCACCATTAACCAAGGAGTTTGGCGAAATATCGAATAAGAGGTCTATTGTTGTGTTTTGTGTACTATTGTTTGTCTGTTGGTCTTTTTCTTTTTTAGCCATGACGTTGTCAGTTTATTTTCGACTTATGAGTTTGAATGTCCCTCTGGTATCTTTCGCCTCTCTTCTATAACCAGTAAACTTGTATCGTTTAATTTATAACACTTTATTTGCCAAATAAACCCTTGGGTATAGAAGGAGTCTTCACCTACGAATAGTGGACTGCATGCCTTCTCGCAATTGACAATGAGGTGGTCATAAGTTAATTGTGTTGGATGCATAAATACTTATCCTGAGCGTGAGAGGTAGTGTTAAAGTTTAAAAAGTTGTTAAGAGGAAGTCTTGCAGTTTTTAAGAGGTAGTCTGTTGCAAGACAAAACTTATTGCATGAACTCTATTTCAGCGGGCCTTAATACCATTGGAAAATTCAACAAATATATTTGATTTCTTTAAACGTGTTCTGATAGGAGTGGCTTAATTTTTTTAAAAGCTCCCCTTAATGACTTGCGTCTGGTATTTCACGATGTGTACAGGAAACCTTGATCATAGGAATCTGATTAGATCGATTACAAGTAACCGCCTAAATTTGACACTCCTTTATGGATTATTAGTTTTCATTCATATTATTCAACTATGGGAGATAACTGTATTGTATTTAAAGCTTGTCCTAAGGGGAGCTAGGTGAACGGATATGTGCGACAGTAAAGCCAACCTTTACCAATCGACAAACCTCGACCGATTCCGCTACCCTACATCTAGATGTGGATTGGAAATTTTACGCTGGTCGTCATCCAATCAGATCCATCGATATAATAGAATTGCATTGGGCTTCCAATTGTTTTGTTTCAAGAGCCACTGGTGAGTCTTATGCAGATGAAACGCGCGTCTGGCCTACTAAATTAGACCCCCCTAGACCACTCGAGTGTCTTACGCGAATAAATAAGAAGTTGCAATCCGCTCACTACAATTACTACATTGACACTATTGATTGATCGATGGCTGTTGAACGTCCGATTGCAAGTATATCATACATACTAAGGACGGTAATATGCAATTATTGACTTCTAGTCTTTTGATGAGGTTGATACAATGATTTATCAACCCAGAGATATGATATTCACATAGGCCAAAAATTGTTTTATTATATGACTAAACAAATTCTCTTTTCTCATTGGCGAAAAACAATAAACCTCTCTTAGGAAGAATTTATAACAAGAAGAGTCGCTAGAGAGATCATAATTATTCGAGGTGTCGGCTGTCTAAATTGACTAACTTTAACCTTTATCAATCATCTCTGTTACAAATACACCGGCTGGGGTCAGGTACTTATTATGTGAAATCAGAATAGTTTTTGAAAGTTTTGAATTTACACAATTGTTGAAATTCCGTTTATTGAAACTTAGGAATCTTTATTGTTGGATTCCTGTCTCAATTACTTTTATATCACGTTCCTATATCCAAGCGCATATGATTCAAATGACAAAAATCTGCTGTGAACGTGCAAACAAATTTGTTTTTTTATGGCAATCGGAAACACTGATCATATTGTATCTGCCGTACAGCTTGATAGCCGGTATGTATATGCCTGACTGTATGATAGCCGGTATGTATCTCCCTTACTGTATGATAGCTGGTATGTATCTCCCTTACTGCATGATAGTCCGTATGTATCTGACGTACTGCATGATAGCCGGTATGTATCTGCTTTACTGTTTGATAGCCGGTATTTATTTGTCGTATGCATGACAGCTCGTGTGTATCTGCCTTACTGTATGATAGCTGGTATGTATCTCCCTTACTGTATGATAGCTGATATGTATCTCCCTTACTGCATGATAGTCGGTATGTATCTGACGTACTGCATGATAGCCAGTATGTATCTCCCTTACTGTATGATAGCCGGTATGTATCTGACGAAGTGTGTGACAGTCGGCATGTATCTGTCGTACTGCATGACAGCCGGTCTGTATCTTCCTTACTGCATGATAGCCGGTATGTATCTGCTTTACTGTATGATAGCCGGTATTTATTTGTCGTATGCATGACAACTGGTGTGTATCTGCCTTACTGTATGAAAGCCGGTATGTATCTGTCGTATTGCATGACAGCCGGTATGTATCTGCCGTAATTCATGCCATACTGCATGATAGCCGGTGTCCTATAGCCTTTTTTTTCCCATGCTAATTTTCGGGGGGGGGGGGGAACTGGATCGATCCAGTTTTCCCCCCGGAACAATTGGCATGATCCCACTTTTCCCCTCAGCGTTATAGGGGGGGGGGCAGGATCAGGCCTATTCTCCCCCCTAGTAACACGAGAAGCTCCTCCCCCTTGTAGTAACGTCGGCGACGTCAATTGGAAATTAATTATCCGTTAAAGGATATTAGCCTTCTTTCAAATAGTTAAGCGTTACCACACAATCATCGTGGACACATAGACATACCAATAAACATATTCACAGACTAGTGGACATATAGACATATTAGTGAACACACTGGTGGATGTGTAGAAAGGCTGCATGTGGACATGTTAACAGTCTGCACATAGCTAGACCGGTGGATGAACATGTTGACGGACTGCCGGACACGTAGAGAGACTTGCAGACACACACAGACTGATGGACATGTAGACAGACAGGACACACACAATCTGGTGAACATGTAAAAGGATTCGTGGACATATACACATATTGGTGGACATGTTAACAGACTAGTGGCCATGTAGAAAAGAACTCAGAATTGTGGATGTGTGATCAAATCACTCATGATACTATCTGACAAGAACATGCTACATGTAATGGACACAGATGGCTGCACAAACATAAAGTTCAATGTTTACTGAAGGGTCACTTCCTATAAATAAGTTTTACAAGTATGAGGCTAGCCGTCGATAACAGCCGGCGTTAATATTCATGATGCCAGCTTTCAATAATATTCATGAGCCATCAATAATATTCATGAGATGATTTGCGTTCGATAAAGTGTTGTAGGAAACTATCGATTATTATGATAAAATAACGTTTTTTGTTTATATTTGATGTTTGTTCAAACAGGCAAATCAATGGGTGTCTTCTTCGAGGTCCGCGTTTACTTAATCAATTATAAAAAGGAACTATTAGTCTTCTGCAAGGTTTGCATCTTTTAACAACATTTAAAATGAAAGTAAAAAAAAGGTTAATGCTTCCATAAACATAGAACCAAGAACCGATCTGTATAAGTTTTATACTGATGTCCGTTTTTCAGGATGTCAAATATATCAATGGGTGCCAATTATATTAAACAATATATCAATGGATGGAAAATTTCAGCCTTTCATATATCAATTGGTCTAAATATCTTTATGAATATTAAATAAATTTATTCCTGCGGTGAAAGTGTTTATCTCCAACTTTTACAATAGCATTTTATCATCCACAGTAAATATGAATAGGAACACATTTCCATGTAAGACATACGAATAATTCGAAATTTTTGATATATTCGATATATGAATGGGGGTATTTTGTAAGTGCTAACGGCACCCCTGTAATAAGTGCCCCATCCCAGACCTTTCTAGTGACACGCGTGTCGACAAAGCGAACACAGGTTGACAAAACATTTCTTCTATGCAACCCAAGCCGAAAAACAGATCATTATAGCATTCCAGAGATCAATCATGTCTTAAGAACATATGGAAAATATATATGGAATAAATGGCCGTGCAATTTTGATATATATCCATTTTGTGGGGGGAAATCGTGGCATGGGAGAAAGGTGGCTATATGTATATGTATTGTCAACTTTCCGCGAGGGAAGAATGGCAATGATCCGAAATTTCCCCGAGGGGGGAAATGAGATCATGCCGGGAGAAAAAACTGGCATGGTGAAAAATGGCTATATAACACGGTTATAAAATGTGACGTTGAATGAAACCGATGCTTAAAATATTTCTATTTTTCTTTGAGCACACCGTGAGTTATAAAACTAGAGGCTCTCAAGAGCCTGTGTCGCTCACCTGATTCTACTTTGGTTTTGGAAATCATGTAAAAATAGATTAAAATTATAACAGATACCCTAATAATGAGTGAGACCAAATTTGGTTTAATATTGGTCCTGTAATTTAATAAAAAATCCTGGTGGCCACCTTGAACAGTAAATCGGCAACAAAGTAGCAACACTTCATCAGCACCTCATAAGAAACATTTATGCCATGTTTTGGTTTCA